CATTTACAAATAAAAAGTATAATTTCTTCGCAATTAGTGGTCAGAATCTTTATCAGAATACAACGACTTCAACTATTACACTTTTAGATTAATATTTTATTAAGTAGTAGACATTTAAAAAACTAATATTTCAGAACAATTGGTAATTTTGACAACATTTTAAAGCCTCATTACGGAACTAAGGGACGTTTCATATGAACTTTTGAATCATTATGGCATAATAAATAATCTTATAAATCATTTAGATTTAGTGGAATGAAAAATGATGGGGGGGGGGAAATACGAATTATTCTGAATAATTTTTAATCTAATGATCGGATTTTCACGTTCTAAGATTCAATCGAGAGGGTGACCTCAAATATGCTAATTAATAAGTGCAGACGATACTGTAAGTTACAAACTCAGAATCTTTCTTTAAATCAGAAATCGAGACGTAACTCAATATCATAACAAAGTTCGTCCGAGATTGGAATGTCCCTAACAAATCACAGCTTTTATGCGATTTTTGAAGATAAAGAAGATGAAAACAGTTAAATCTAGTGCAATTAGCTTAATATTTGAATTAGATTGTGAATATTTTTTAAGTGCAAACTTAAAAAATACTTAATTAAATAAATCGAAGAGCTGAGAGGATGAATCACATCAGGGAAAGAAGAATAAGTTTATCCGAACTACTTTATTAACCGAGTTAAAACGGCTCTTTCAAGAATTTTTCTTCGATTTCAAATAAGTATTTCACTACACTCAGCATTACCATTGGGTGAACTTTTCCTATATCATAACATTGACTTGCGCATGTAATTTTATTTTTTCAGTAATATTTTAAGTATAGTGGTGAAAACAAACTTATTACTAAGTATTTTATTTTCTTCACTTTAGTTCCATTTTTTAAAACTTTAAGGACCATACGATATTTGTTAGAAGGTAAGAAAAATTATTTTTTGACTTATTTCATTTACCTTTACCCAATTTGAAAGAAAAAATCATGCAGAATCAAAACTAATGTTGATTAGTTATGTTACAATTAAAGTGCAGTCCAAAACAATTCTGTGACATTAAACCTACCCACATTGATGCGCCCACTTTATGTTATTTATAAAAATGTCCCTTACCTGTTTCATTCTCTAAATTCTTTCTATCACAATGTTATTAAAATAAATTATTCTTTTATGCTTTTTTTAAATAAATGTTAAAAAAAAGTTAACTATTGCGAATAAATGTTGAGTAACTAGAAAAAAATATTTGAATTAAAGAAAATAAAAAAAACACATAGTTATTTAAATGAATTAAGAAGAATGTAAACACTTTTTTAGAGGATGGCTAAGTAAAATATCAACAAATCCAACGTTTTCGGGAAAATTTAACTGGAAACATGCTCGGAACAAGAAATTGAAAAAAAGTAAATAAAAAAATAATAATAAATCAAAAATAACATAGCGAAACATATACAACATAATTGATAATTATAAAGTCTTAAACAGATATCTATATTTTTCGTTTTTACAATAATATGATCCTTTTATTCCCCTTTTGTTAATAAAGGCCATAAATTTTAACTACAAATTCATGAGTATCATATTTTTTTATTTGAATAAAAATGATCGTTTACATATTTGCTATGGTTAATTATTATTTCGAAATGAAGCATGTTTAAATAACTTCAATAAAGTGTAATCCTTTGCATCTAAGGCTCTTTTTACACTTAAAAGAACGATTCACAAAGAGTTTAAAAGAAGAAAAAAAACCTGTTTGTTTACCAAATATTACATGACACTCTAAAAGCAATTTCTTTACAAAACATTAAGTGTAAAAATTTTAAACATTAAGGGTCTTAAATTATTTATGATGTCAGACAATAGCATTCCAATACAAAGAGTTAAAAGATTTCTTTTTTTTTTTTTTTTTTTATAANTTTTTTTTTTTTTTTTACTTAGGATTAACAGCTTATGAAATATAATCTTCAATATCTCCATTCTCTGCATTTTATAATTCATCAGAAATTATATAAAACTTACAATTGGTAAATTGTATAAGGCACTTATCCATTTTGTCAGCGCATGTAAATTCTGCTATTTCCTTTCTTTTATTATTTCTTTCTTTTATTTTTTATTTATTCAAATAAAAAGATTTTTTAAAAAAAACAGTTAAATTTTTCGTTTTTTTTTTAACGTTCACTCTATTACCAGGTACGGAGTAATTTTGATTCATCATATTCATGTAAACGTAATCATTTAAACATTATGATCACATTCAATTCCTAATTTTTGCTACATGTTTCTTTTTATAAAGCTTATTTTACAAAGAATATTTATGTTTGTTAATTGCAAAGTGATATCACACCATCATGAATATTGAGAATTCTATCTAAAATTTAAAACAATGTTAGTTATAAAAATGTTCACGTCTTAAAATTTTTCNATATAATCTTTAATATCTCCGTTCCCTGTATTTTATAATTCATCAGATATTATATAAAACTTACAATTGATAAATTGTATAAGGCACTTATCCATTTTGTCAGAGCATGTAAATTCTGCTATTTCCTTTCTTTTCTTTCTTTATTTCTTTCTTTAGCTTTTTATTTATTCAAATGAAAAAAAACCCAGTTAAATTTGTCGTTTTTTAAACGTTCATTGTATTACCTGGGCCGGTGTAATTTTGATTCATCATATTCATGTAAACGTAATCATTTAAACATTATGATCACATTCAATTCCTAATTTTCGCTACATGTTTCTTTTTATAAAGCTTATTTTATAAAGAATATTTATGCTTGTTAATTGCAAAGTGATATCACACCATCATGAATATTGAGAATTCTATCTAAAATTTAAAACAATGTTAGTTATAAAAATGTTCACGTCTTAAAATTTTTCATTTTTAAATTCGCAACCATTTATTAGCTATAAGACACAGGATATTAAAAGTATGTCGCAACAATTCATTTTAGCGTTTCAGAGAAATTATTGCGACACATGTCGTAAAGTTTTATCGAATTATGCTCATTTTATATAGCCTTGTATGTACTTTTGAGTATAAGCTTCAGGATTACTATAAAAAGAATTATTTTATAATCTTTAATTTCTGATAATGTTTTCTGATAATGTTTTATTTGAGAACTGTTTTTCATTAGAATTTAGATTCCTGAGAAAATTTTAAAAAAGAAAAAATAGTTATTTAGTTTTCTTCAATAAGATAAGGGAAGAAAAAATATGTTTGGAAGCAATTTAACATCGAGTATCGAGCATATATTGAAGATATTTTTTTTGGTTGAAAAATTAGTTTTGAAGAATAGCGATGGTTAAAATAAATGGTTAACTATAATCCAGAGATGCCAACTTGCTCCGGACAGCAATTAAATATTTCCGAGTGGAAGCTTATTAACGTGTGATTCTTAGTTTAATAAATTCATTGAATTAGATTTTTATGTACCACTATTTATAAATTATTGAGAGGCATATATTATTCGCAACTTACAGAGAGCCATCTTGCTCCGGATATATTTCAAAGTGGTAGTTTTTCAGTTATGATTCTGGGTTTAATAAATTCAATTTAGTAGATTTTTATCTACCACTATTTCTAAATAATTCATTAGCTTATAAAATTCACCAACGTATAGCATTCATGTCATGCTATGCTTTTTAAAAAGCAAGCAGTCAAATATTTGCAAAATTTACATGTATGTATTTACCGTTTTTTTAATTATTATGGCATGTCCGGAGCAGTTGGCATCTCTGAATAATTAAAAACATGTTACAGCGTCCAAAAGAAAAGCAAAACAAGTTTAAATTGATTGAAAAAATTTCTAGTCAAATAGCTACCATTTTAATATTAAAACTACCCATTAAAATGACAAAACGAGATCTAGAAATTTAACCATGCATTCTAGTACACATAAATTATCTTTAATTTCTAAGAGCGATTCTTAAATAAACAGAAAATTTTTCTTATTACTTTTTACGTTTAGGCTGCATCGTTCCGCGCTTTTCGGGAAATTTTCTGATAGTGGTAGTTTATGTTTTAATGTATTTTGTTAATTTAATTTTAAAAAATTTCTCCACTCCACTATTTGCAAATGATTCAAAAGTTCATATGAGCCGGCGTTTCAATCCATCTCTCTCAAAAAGTTGGAAAAATTACCATAAATTCTGATAACTTTATAAATGTCCACCACTCTATAAAATATTTCGAAAAAAGCGTAGTAGTTGGCAACGCTGCATTTATACTAGAAAAAATAATTTCTTCAAATTAAATCTGATCTTAAGAAGCTACGTCACATTAATTAACGTTTCAATCAAAACTAAATTGAGAGAAATCATATAGCATTGGAGAAAACCATGTGACGTCATAAAATAGACTGATGAACATATCAAGATAATTATTACGACCAAACAAAATCACTTCGAAATCTAACATTACCAATTAATTACTAATTAAGTAATTAATATTAAAATAATAAATCGTTAAAAATATTATAGTTTATGTTATTTTGTTTTCAGAATTTGTTTTAATCAAATGATTATAGATAACTAAACACTTGTTAAGATGACTAGATAAAAAATCAAATATGTAAAGAAAAATCTTATTTTAAGAATACATTGATTATTCTTAAACCAAATTACTACACTAAATCTGAAGGAATAAAACTTATTATTCAAAAACAACACGTTCCAAAAGCTTACAATTCGAAGTAAATATTACTTAATGAAAATCTGTTGTCTAATTGAAGATTCATTAAGAGTTCAAAAAAAAAAAAAAGATTTTTTAAGAATAAAAATTTACAAGTATATAGAAAGAAATAATCACTTAGAAAAACTGCGGATAGGGATATTTTTTAAATATATATAGATATATAAATAAATATCATAAGACGAAACAGAAACCGAAACAGTAAGGCGGAAGAATAATGCGTAGTCACGAAACAACCCGTTATTAAATCAAGCAAAAGATAGTTCGGATGCCAAACGATAATTAAGCGAAAGATAAACATAGGTACGAACCAGTTGCACGAGCTTCAGAATTCCAGGAACAGTAATGAAATAATAAGGGTTTAACTCCAAATTATCAGCTATTCCAGTTGATTCAGCTTTTGTTGTCACTTTTACTCCAACAGAATGAGAAGTATCGGTTTTGTGTGTATTAGTCGTTTGCACACTAGTTTCAGAAGGAGCCATCATTTTGGAATTCCAGGAGAAAGAACGGAACCGTTCGAAGTTGAGATGAGAACTATGTGGAGGTTTTCTCTCCGCATTCGAAGATAGGAACCTGTTTCCTTCAACGAATGCACGTTTGAATGCGTGTGTTGTGTTAGCACCTTAGAGCGAATGGCCGCCTATCATCCGTGACCGTGATTCAGGCTGTAATGAATGTTTGAGATGGTTTGCGGTAGAAAGAAAAATAAAAAAAAGATTTGTTCGGGTGGGACGTAGGTTTGCTTGTGCAACTACCTACCTGAACTTCTCGAGACGAGAGTGGGTTTTAGTTCTTATATGTATTTTGTATTGTTGATCATTTTTATTTCGTCATTTAGAGTAGGTGTATAGTTTTCTCTATTTATTTTTGGGCAAAGTTATGTACTCGGATATGATGTACGAATTTTTACTCTTTCTCTCTATGTCTCTCTTTCTCTCTCTCTCTCTTTATAGAGGAGAAGGTGTAAAAATGGGCACAGGTGTAAATATGGGCACCCCTCCCTAGTAGCTATGGGAGGTACTGAAGACTGGCGGCAAGGACTGTATATGGGGCCAGTTGCTAATATAAGATTGTACAGAGCAGTTGAAACCATTTTTTCAAGTAGTGTGGATGCAGCGTGAGTTATTGTGCAAATTGGTGTTTATTCTGGACTGCAAACTTTTGAGAGGTATGTGAAATCGTTTTCTTTTCATGTACTTATGTTCAGTTAAAAATAATTTGACAGTGATATCCGGAAAGCGGAGATCTTAAGCTATTTTTTGAAGCACACCTTTAGTCACGCACGCTTTTAGGTTACTTGTGATAGTGGCCATCCTTCTTAGGTGGGGTTGGTGTAAATATGGGCCCCCATTTAAAGGGTGCCCATAATTACACCAACTTTTTTTAGTGGAGTTTAGCACATCAGGCTCTAGTTATGCCAATTGATAAGGCAGCTGAAATACCTCAATGTTCCCCGGGAACTTCAAGTGCAATTTCTCCGTTCGACATATCTCCTGTTCCCAACATTAAGAAGATAACCACTACTCGTGGACGCAAAGCAGCAAGGTCCAGCCTCATCACCGGATTACCATACAAGGATCAGTTGACCAAGACGCTTGACAAGTGCTCTCAAGAAGACGTCCTTGAGTTTTCCCGGGGTAAGAGACCGGCCAGAGGGCAGGGTGGGAAGACGAAAGGCCTTCAAAAAAAGAAAATTCGGCCCACGCAACGATACGATTCATCATCGGACTCATCAGACTCGATGACCCTCCTCTTATCTACAGCGATGATGATACGAATCTAATAAATGTCAACGGTGGGGATAAACCAGACTCAAGCGATGCAACTTGCAGTTTTTGTGATGGAAAGTTCTCTGAAGACACTCGAGGAGAGGTGTGGGTAAGATGCGTTATGTGCCAAATGTGGGCACTGTGCCGGGGGTGAAAGAGCCAGTTATGTTTGCGATTTCTGTAAATAATTTTTTTTCCTGTAATAAATAAATTCTCTACCATTTTGTATTGTTTTATCCTGTTTTTAAACTATTTTTGGTGGCTTTTTTGAAGAGGGCCCATATTTACACCCCATTTTTTCTGGTGCTTTTTTAAAAGATTTTTGAAAATCGTCGTTTTTGAAATGAAATAATTGATGTTAATCATTGTTTTGCCTTCTCGCATTTAGGAAACTTGTTATAGTTGTTAATGAAAGATAAAAATCTAGAAATTTTCAAATTGAAAGTAACTATATCCAAAAAACAAAAGAGGGTGCCCATATTTACACCTTTTCCTCTATATATAATTTTAGTTATGTAATATAATTTATAAAAATTATTATGTTTGGATCCAAAATCTACGTAGTTTCCGTTGTTTCTCATAAATATTATAAGAGGACATTTTGATGGAACTAACCCGCACGGAGAGGAAGACCACGAGAATCTCCCGCGGTTAGCCTGACGGCAAGGGGACTCTAACCCATGATCCGTCTACCACTGAGGATATTTCACGTCAGCACTGTGGTCGGTGCGAGCCGGATGCAGAATTCGTATTTACGGGGATTCGACCCCGGCTCACCTCATTGGAAGGCGAACGCTCTATCCCCTGAGCAATCACGGCTCGTTACGGAACAGTCAACTTTTAAACAGAACATCTTTATGTCTGTACATTGACACCCTTGCAATTCAGGATCATTCTCGGGATTGCTTCATTTGATCGGGATGACTTCTTTGTTCACCACAATCTATTCGTTTTCTAGTACAGATAAGGCACCGGCAAGTACGGATAACACACAGATGTGCATTTCAAGACTTCAGTATTCCCTAGATGCCCCTTATTGGAGTGAGGTGGGGCGTGGTAAAGCTAAGTTTTATGATCCAGTACATTGAAACAAGAAATAAACTTAATGGGAAATACCCTTTCGGAAAGTTCTGTTGCTTTCCGAACAAAATAAATTTCTGATTTAAAATCTCCATAACCAGATTAGGTTACGATGAAATACTTGTACAAATGTTCCTCAGTGTTATTAGTCACTCCTAAAACACGTATAGTAAAGGTGTTAACCTTTTCGGAACGGGCGAGTCATAATTGTAGTCGTATGAAATCAGAATCATGATAGTAAAAAATAAAAAGCCATAGCTTTAGTTTGAGCATAGCTAATTTGACAGACTTATTTTTGCTTTCACTTTAAATCTGACACATCCAATCCCTGTTCTTCTTTCTTTATTTATAAAAAATTGGGCACCTGGGTCGTGCAGAATACATCCTGAAATAGTATAAAAAATTAAAATAAAAGACAGTTTGAGTTCAGCAGTCTATGGGGTGGCTGTTACAGGGAGACAAGCACCTTGCTTGCATAACTGAAAGAAATTGAAAATAATAAGAGCAACTTGCTGTAATCTGTGGATGGCTGTAGTTTGATTGTCAACGTGAAGTAACATAGGTCAGGATTTCAGTATTGGTATCAATCCATGTGTGTTAAAAGTGCAACTATACAATTTTTAATTCGAAATAAGTAGTGGTGAATTAAATAAAGTAAACTATTAATACCCGGCCCACAAATAAATTGCTAAAAAAATAGTTTGGCTACCAGTTTTATTTTTTTTACCCTGATTATCGATCCCCTGAGAATGCATAGATGACAAGTCCGTCTCGAAGAGGTTAACGGGAAATTTTTTTGTGTGTCTTTAAAGTTGTACTAAGTTTTTAACCAGGTTATTTTCTTTAGACAAATTTGATTTACAATAATTTTGAATCCATTATTACACCCAACTTTAAAGACTAGGCAAAAGGAGCAATGATATCATCTATGATATCATATATCTGAAATTTTTATGTTTTTATGTATTTCATCTACCTCACGCAAACTTTTAATGACACGATGAATGGGCAAAGGCCGTGTTTGGCTCAAGTACCCAGCTCAATTTGGTTAGTGAAGTGATTTTAAATTGCATTTTTCGCTAAATAATAATCAAGTTCAAGCACGGATACTGACTTGTTCTGCTCTGAGGAAAATATGTGTGAAATTTTGAGTTAATAAATTTTATTTAAAGACATGGTGCTCGTATTTTGCATACCACTACGCGCGAGTGATTCAAAAGTTCGTATAAAATGCCTCTTTGGTCCAGTAATATTGTAGCACCCGTAATACCACTTTTTTTTTCGTAAATAGAAACCGCCCTCTTGAAAAAACGCTTGATATACAAACATTACTCAGACAAATCCTAAAATTTAGAATAATATCTATTTCATCAAAATGTGAATTTAACCGGTTAACGCCCAGCGTCATATATTTAGGACAGTTCCTTTTTTCAAAGACATTCATTGTGGTGGGAAACTTTTTCAGTATTTTCATTTATCTGGGTGAATTAAAAGATTCTCAGATACCACAATGATTTAGTTATTTCTGATTAGATCTTGAATTATAAGGAGCAAGTACTCTTTGATCTATCAAAGTCTTTTTGAATGTTCTAACTGTAGAAAAACCAATTAATTTCGTTAATATATTTTACCATTTTTTTCATCATTTGAATATATAAATTCGGGACAAAACTGGTTAAGTTGGTAAGAGTATATCAGCACGCTACATTTTGCTAAACTACTGAAAGAGTCATATTAACAGGGATTAACCGGTTAGCGCCCCGCGTCATATGTTTAGGACAGTTCCTATTTTCAAAGACATTCATTGTGGTGGGAAACTTTTTCAGAATTTTTATTTATCTGGGTGAATTAATAGATTCTCAGATACCACAATGATTTAGCTATTTCTGACTAGATCTAGAATTAAAAGGAACAAGTACTTTTTGATCTATCAAAGACTTTTCGAATGCTCTATCAGTAAAAAAAAACAATTAATTTCGATAATATATTATACCACCTTTTCCATAAAACCACTTCTTGTATCATTTCAACATATAAAGTCGGGACAAAACGGATTAACATAACAATTTTATAATGAAACTAAACCATAGCACCACAAACATTATTCGGATGCTATTTAACAAAAACCAATACTTTTGATTTCATACAGTAACTAATGTTAAGTAAATAAATATAATGTTTAAAAATTTTTCAGTATTTAGGTGGTAATCAGTTAAATTACAGTAATTGAAATAATTAAAAGGAAACTGTTACAAAGTTAAACTGTATTAAGATAATTTTTATTTGATGAGCCCATAATAAAATTAACTGATATTAGAGTTGAATAAAAATTAATAAGCATAATGTTCATGAAAGAATTTCAAATGTATAGATCGCTTCCCTCCCCTCCCCCCCGGCTAAAATCCATTTACACACTTTTCCGTGGAAATTCTTTTCGAAATTTGTTTTGAAAAGAGTTTGAAAGGTTTCAGCTTCTGGATATCCTTTATGAATTCGTTTTTTTTCTTCAATTTTACTCGTAAATTAAAAAAAAAGTGGTATGTCTGTATAACGTTAATAGAAGTAAGTTTTTTTAAAAAAAATAAAAGTAGAATAATTATTCATTGCAGAAAAAAATCCTAATAGGTAGGAGGCTTTAGTTCGTGGATGTGGCCACCTCCAGCACGAATGCACAATGTAATACGGTCGGAAATTGATGCATGCAAGTCCTTACAATGTCATGTGGCATCTCGATCCTCAGGTGCTGTAAACACTTACTAATGCGACTAAATTTCGAGGCTGCCCAAATTGGCCCACCCCCAATTGAATCATAATCGGTCGGTCGGTGACAATTCATAGGATTGAACAGGCCTGGGAAGAGTAATAATATGGTGGAAACATTCCTGTGAAATTTTTGCTGTGTGTGGTCGAGCATTTTT